GGGGATCCTTGACTTCCCTGTAGATAGTGCCCAATTTACTAGAAGATTACATCCCCACCTGCTCCCCCTCTGAGCAGTCTTAACTTTTGTAATTACAAGTTTTGTGACTTCTACAATCCTTGACCAATGCATGATGTTTTAGACCTTGTAAATTCCCTTTACTCTAGGGAAGCTTGATTGTCACTATGAGATACCTCTGGCAACAGGAAGTCTATGTTTCTGAAAAGACAAAGTTGGCAGAGTTAATCTTTATCTAAAATTATGCATTTCTCAAAAACATAGCTTCTACTTTCTCATCATTGTGTCAGGATTTAAGAGCAAGATGAAAAATGACTTCCCACTCTTGGTCTGTTCTTTCAGTCCCCACTCCTGCTCTTGGAAATATTCTTGTAATCCTGGGGTGAAGATCAATTTTCTGTAACTGCTTCCTGCTGAGGTGGGCTGTAGAGATATCCCTACCTATCTATTTCCAAGGGCATGAATAGGTGACGGTGGGACCTTAACTGGATACTATTTGGATCTAATAAAACATCGAGCAAGAGCACAGGCAAAAATTATTAAGCAACCAATGGTGAAAAAGGTTATTGCCCCAGAGACAATGCTAGAAAAATGAAAGTAATCTCGTAAATTATATGTATGTTTAGTCAAAACTTCTAATTCATCAATATAAGTTGAGATATTCCTTTGTAAATTATCTATAGTTGTACTTTAACAAGGAAATACAGTCACTATGACAAAGTCTGAAGAAAGAAAAATTGAAAACATCAGAGACATGTAGTTAGGTTATAACTTAAATTGAGAATTTAAAACAGATAAACATTGGCAAGAGAAAACAGTTTCTTTTGTTTTTATAATTGGTCTGATATACTTTCACAATGATTGATATGCTAGAGGGTGAAGCCCAGGTTATTTTGTTATTTATTCTATGTTGGATTAATAATCCTTGTGCCTGATCTGCATTAGATGTGACTCCTAAAGCTTGTTTCTTATCTCACCCTAGAGAGTCTGATTGAGAACTTTAAGAGTTTAAGTATGCTGGGCTTGGTGGCTCAGCCTGTAATCCCGCGCCTTTGGGAGGCTGAGGTGAGTGGATTGCCTGAGCCCGCGGGTTCGAGGTCCTCATAGGCAACTTGGCAAGACCTCATCTCTACAATAAATAAAAAAATTAGCCGGGCATGGTAGCGCATGCCTGTAGTTCCAGCTGCTTGGAAGGCTGAGGTGGAAGGATCGCTGGAGCCCAGCAGGTCGAGGCTGCGGTGGCTGGGAGTGGCCACTGCACTCCAGTCTGGGTGACAGTGAGACTCCAACTCAAAAAAAAAAAAAAAAAGAGTTTAAGTATTAAAATTAATTTTAATTAAAATTAAAATAATGGTATAGCACGAGATTGCAGTAGTTATTGTAAAAGTTACTTATTTAGCCAAAATGATAGTTCAAAGATTTTGAAAAGAAAAAAAACAAAAACAAAAACCTTGCTTTTTTGTAACAAAGACAGTGGGGGAGGACTAATTGAATTTTGTCTCTTTCTTGCCCCCTCTATTGTTTATAAGAGAAAATTTTTTTGGAGATTGTTAGTTAAGAAGCTCATGTTTGCTGGGCTCGGTGGCTCAGCCTGTAATTCCATGCCTTTGGGAGGCTGAGATGAGTGGATTGCCTGAGCCCGTGGGTTTGAGACCGGCCTGGGCAGCGAGACTTCATCTCTACAATAAATCAAAAAATCAGCCGGTCATGGTAGCGCATGCCGGTAATTCTGGCTACTTTACTTGGAAGGCTGAGGCGGAAGGATTGCCGGAGCCCAGCAGGTTGAGGCTGCGGTGGCCCGGAGCGGCCACTGCACTCCAGTCTGGGCGACAGAATGAGACTCCAGCTCAAAAAAAAAAAAAGAAGCTCATGTTCTGTCTTTGAGTAGCATTTTGGCCTAGCATTAGTGTACTTGATTAATGGTAAATTTGTAGAACCTTTTTGTCACCTCGAGTGTTTATAGAATTCCTTTCACATTTCTTTTCACATTCGTTCACATACCATGTTTGACATACTCTTACCATTTTTCAACATGCTTGAACCTTTTATTTTTGTTCTATACTTTCCTTCCTTTAAATAACCAGCCATTTTATTATAGAACAAAAATGTACCATACAAGATTGTTTCCTATACAAAATTATTTCTCTTTCCTTTATCCTTTCTTACCAAACACATACCTTATACCAACAACTTTCTTTACATTTTTCCTAACCTCAGAGCTCTAACCAAAGCAGTAAGTTTATCCTTTCACACTGAGATGCCAGGAGGCAAAGGTGTACTTTCAATTACTTAGTAGTGATTGTTATGGCATATCTGGACTTCCTTTCTCATTAATAACAAAACTGCTCCCATCAATGTACCATTTGCATTCAGGATTAGGAAGGGGAGTGTTGGTTAAATCTTATCTTACTACTCTAGACATTTCAAGAATTTCTCAACAGCTATGCTCTGTCAGTTCTGGGGGAGGCAGGAGGGTAGCTGGGTTTAAGGGACCTGACTTTTGGAAAGTTATACTAGAGTTGCCAATGAATAGAGTTTGGTATTTATTTATTTATTTATTTTGAGTTGGAGTCTCACTCTGTCACCCAGACTGGAGTGCAGTGGCCGCTCCCGGCCACCGCAGCCTCGACCTGCTGGGCTCCAGCGATCCTTCCACCACAGTCTTCCAAGTAGCTGGAACTACAGGTGCACACTACCACGCCTGGCTAATTTTTGGCTTATTGTAGAGATGAGGTCTTGCCAAATTGCCCAGGCAGGTCTCGAACCCGCGGGCTCAGGCAATCCACTCACCTCAGCCTCCCAAAGCGCTGGGATTACAGGCTGAGCCACCAAGCCCAACTGAGTTTGGTATTTAGTAAGTGTTGAGTTAGTAAGAAATTTGTAAGCATTGTTGTTCAAAATGTCAGCCACCTGGTGTGGAGAGTACACATCAATATGCTGTCCATAAATAATTTTATTAGCTTCCTGAGTTAGTATGGCAGTTGCTGCTAGGCCCTGAAGGCAAGATGGCCACCCTTTTGCTGTATTGTTCAATTGTTTAGATAAGTATGCTACTGCCTTCATTTCTGGACCGTACCTTTGTCCTAGCAGCCCCAAGGCTATTCCTCCCCTTTCTGTTGTATAGAAGATAAAATTCTTTTGTAAGTTGGGGGGTGCTAGAACTGGGGCCCTTGTTAGTGAGTCCCGGAGCAAAAAGAAAGCTTTTTGTACTGGTGAGTACCAGTCCAGAGGCTCATGTTCTGGACCCTGAGTAACCTCTTATAATGGCTTAGCTATAAGTCCATAATTGGGAATTAAAAAGGCATGTAAGTCCTTCTTGGACTGAGTGCATAACAAGGAAGCAGTGCCGAAATATTTTATTTCCCAGAACACATGGAAGTAATGGCGTAGTGAGAGGCCTGGATCTAATGCCCTGCACCCCCACAACCAAAAGGGGTAAAGGAAGGAGTGGACCAGGAAATTCAAGTAGAGCTGAGCATGTAGTCCCTGTATTGATAACGAATGATATAACTCTGCCAGCTACTGATATTTCCACCCTAGGCTCAGTTGGTTTAATAGTTTGTTCCAAAGATGTTGGGGTTACCGAGCCAGGAACACGTGAATCTGACTGGAGCAAGCCCCAAAGATCCCCTTCTGAGATCGTGCAAGGTGCCTGGTGTCCCTCATTTGTAGCAAGCTTCTGGGGCCATGTGTTCCCCTCCAGCTAGCGAACGGGGCAATCATGAACCCAATGTCCATGTTGTTTGCATTTGGGACAGGGTTTTGTTGGTGGTGAGGCTTGACAGTCTTTGGCCATATGCCCATTTTGACAACATTGGAAACAAACCTGGGAAGGTTTGTTGTTTCCTTCAGCGACTGATCATCTGGGTTGGAAGATTATCAGTGGTGGCTCTTTTTGCTAAAGTGGTAGATAAAAGCTGAAACACGTCCCGCTTATGTTTGCGGTCCTGTATTTTTTCCTCCTCCTGTTGTTAAAGACTTTAAAGTCCATATCCAATAGTTCTAATTGAGGGGTTTGTGGGCCCTTTTTTAATTTTTGGAGTTTGTGCCTAATGTCTGGTGCTGACTGGGAGATAAAATACATAGCCGAAAGAGCTTGTCCTTCCAGAGAGTTTAATTGAATATTAGTAAACTACTGTAATGTAGGAAAACTGCTGTATGTAGGAAGTGGAGTTGTAGGAGAGTATGAAGGAGTTGTAGGATTTTTCAGGGAGGGGTGGCTACATCAGCAGGGTCAGTATCTTCTGAGGAATCTGGCAATGGGGTCTCGGGAGCCAACATAAAAATGTGACAGGAAGAACGAATATTTGGTTGGCGAGCTAACTTATAAAAGGCCTGAATACATGGGATCTCAAGGTATTTGTCATTTCTTTTTAAGTACAAATTAAGCTGCAGAAGGGTGTTAGGAGCTAGGGAGTCACCCTCTGGCCAGGTTTCGCCATCCCCCAGCTTATATTGTGGCCAAGTAGTGTTGCAGTAAAATAGTAAATGCTTTGGGTGAATATCCTCAATGAATTTTAAAACTTTAAGGTGTTTTTTTTGTTGTTGTTGTTAGTTGGAATCTCACTCTGCCGCCCAGGCTGGAGTGCAGTGATATGCTCATGGCCACTGCAGTCTCGATCTGCTGGGCTAAGGCGATCCATCTGCCTCAGCCTTCCAAGTAGGTGGGACTACAGGTATGCGCTACCATACCTGGCTAATTTTTTTTTTAATTGTAGAGATGTGGTCTTGCCAAGTTACCTGGGTGGGTCTCGAACCCGTGGGCTCAGGCAATTCATTCACCTTGGCCTACCAAAGTGCGGGGATTACTGGCTGAGCCACTGAGCCCAGTCTCTTTAAGGTGTTTTAAAAGGCATGCCAGTGGCGTATTTTTCTTTACAACTGATTGAGAGTTTCCCATGGTTCCAGTAAAAGGACATAGGGATACAATTGGGATGGGCTGTTGGTTTCATGGATTTGTTTCTGGGCCTTAATCCATCCAGATCCCCTGCTGGGCATCCTCAACAGTTTCAAAGGAATCAGCACAAAGCATGTGAGTCACCAGGGAGAGAACGTCCTCCCGTCCCTGTGCCCGCTAGAGCTCACGGAACACTATGCTCCACCATGTCTTGGAAGGCCGTACCAGGACTTCCGGCAATTGGGTCCCAGACCCTTGCTAGGAATCTCCCAAGATGTGAACCGGGAAAAGCTGGAGAGACGCAGAAACTCATCCGAACAGCAAAGTCAGGGGATCTAAGAGGGGTTCCAAGAGCGTGCATTTAAATATGTGGGTATATGGATGATAAATGAGGGATGACTCACCAGAGGTGCAGAAAGGCATACCGTGCAGCTGTTGAAGTCTCAAGGTCCTTTGTGGAGTCACTTTGCCAACCAGAGAAGAGAAGAGCAAAGAAATCAAGCACTTTGTCTCCCACATGTACGGGCACTGGCGGTCCGAACTTTCCTTCAGGGACCTTTTTGCCTCCTAGGGAGTAGCCCTAGGCAGAGACCATCAGTTGTCCTCTGAGATCCAGCTTGGTCCATGGGGAAACTCAGAAATCTTGGCTAGAAGGAAGTAAAGAGTTAACCTTAGTCCCTCACCCTATCAGACCACATCGGTCTGATGTCTTTCCCTGGGACCTTCCAGCATGCTGAAGTGTAGCCTCAGTTTTCAGTTGCTGCCAGGTTCCAACACAGTCCACAGAGGGTCACCAGTTAGGAAATATGGAAGACTAGAGAGAGAGAGAGAGATTCTCAGAGATCTCAGTGGTACCTCCAGAAAATGTTAGGGTATGTTTAGGGCGAGGGTGGATGGGTGGATAGAGAGGGGCGTAGCACCGCTGGAGCCGGTGTGCCAAAGGTGCATACTGGCAACCCAGAAATCTGACTAATGCAAAGAATTGCAACACACAAAGAGGTGAAAGAAGAAAAGATTTATTTAAGAAAAGTTCACTCCCCACAGATAGGAAGTGGGCCTACACTCTAGGTGAGTGTGGCCCCATTGCAGGCCTACACTCTGGATGAGTGTGGCACCATAGCCCCACCAAGTCCTGACTTAAATCCTTTCCTCTGGAGATGTTGCAATCAGGTAGACATGACTGCCATGACTTCCTTATCAACCACCTGTCTTGGAGACCCTGCGACACAGAGACCCATTTATGTCTATCCATATTATCATAGCCCCTAGAGAAGGGCGTGACAAGGATTCTAATGCTCCTGTACTTTCCCAAATGACATTCCTTAGAGCTAAGGGAGGGTGCACTTCCCCTTATCTCCTGTGCATTCCCAGTGGATAGCTTCAGGGGATCCTCGACTTCCCTGTAGATAGTGCCCAATTTACTAGAAGATTGCATCCCCATCTGCTCCCCCTCTGAGTGGTCTTAAATTTTGTAATTACAAGTTTTGTGACTTCTACAATCCTTGTCCAATGCATGATGTCTTAGGCCTTGTAAATTCCCTTTACTCTAGGGAAGCTTGATTGCCACTATGAGATACCTCTGACATCAGGAAGTCTGTGTTTCTGAAAAGACAAAGTTGGCAAAGTTAATCTTTATCTAAAGTATGCATTTCTCCAAAACATAGCTTCTATTTTCTCATCATTGTGTCAGGGTTTAAGAACACTATGAAAAATGACTTCCCACTCTTAGTCTGTCCTTTCAGCAAGGTTAGGTATTCAGTTATAACACTAATCAATTCAGCCTTAACTAAGGAAACTCTGTATTGTAGAGTCCATGCATAGCCTCCAACTCTGCCACCACAGCCACTTTGTTCATGGGTCCTTTGAATAAACGCTGGATGGCTGGGGAAGGAGATGATATTCACAAAATATCCCATATTGTTCACCTGATTATTGAGAACTTCCTTCTTTTTTTGAGTTGGGGGTCTTACTCTGTTGCCCAGGCTGGAGTGCAGGGGCACAATCATGGATCACTGCAGCATTGACTTCCTGGGCTCAGGTGATCCTTCTGCCTCAGCCTTCCAAGTAGCCAGAACTACAGTTGCACACCACCATACCCAGCTAATTTTTTGATTTATTATAAAGACAAGGTCTCACTAAGTTGCCCTGACTGGTCTCAAACCCGTAGGCTCAGGCAGTCCTGTAGCCTCAACCTCAAAAAGTGTTGGGATTACAGGCTTGAGCCACCGTGCCCGGCCTCATTAGTATTTTTTAAAAGCTCCCTGGGTCATTCTAATATGCATCCTTAGTTGTGAACCACTGATGTAAAATAATGAAGAAACAGAAATCCTTTAGTTTAGATGTTCACACAGTTTGATGGGAGAAACAGAAAATAATATCAATTAACACAAGCAAATCACCATCCCTCACTGACTTTTAATAGAAGGACTATGAAAGGTGAATCTGGGTCAGAGTGTTTCCTGGTTAGTAATGCTATTGTGTCTGCTCAGTTCTTATACAGCTCACCACGCAACTAGAGCTGGAGCAGACTGTCCATTGCCTGCTGGATGAGTGCCACAAAGAGGTTGGTAAATAGCTGTGAGTCCTTGAGGCCCTTCAGAATCCGCAGATGTCAGAGCTGGGCCAATTCTTCTTTTTTATTATTTATTTATTTAAAAATTTTGTTGTTATTGTAGAGATGAAGTCTCATTGTATTGCCCTCGCTGGTCTTGAACTCCTGGACTCAAGCAGTCCTCCTGCCCTGGCCTCTCAAAGTGTGGGATTATAGGTGCAAGACACCATGCCTGGCTCCTTTTTTGAAAAGATGGAGGGGTAACCCCTTCAGGTTCCCTCCCACTGTGGGAACTTTTCTGTTCTCAATAAGTCCTGCTTTCTTAAAGAAAAAAAAAAAAGAATGGAGAGATTAAAGTCCAGAGAGATAAAGGAACTTGCCTGAGATCACTGAATTGGTGGCAGAGCCAGAACTAGGGTCTAGTTCAGAAGTAGGGTCCTGCTCCAGTGCTCTTTGCAATTTCCTTCCTTCCCAAATGTTACCTCCACATAGTGAAGTCCTATCTTTCTGGCATAATTATCCAATGGCCCATTCTCTGTTATTTCCTTAAATATAATACAGATTTCCTTGATGAATTTGTCAAGGAAATATGTTCACTACGTCTTTGGTGGTTTTATTTAATTCTGAATTGTATACATTACTTTTTTATTTGTTTGTTTTGAGTTGGGGTCTCACTCTGTTGCCCAGGCTGGAGTGGAGTGGCATGGTTGCAACTCACTGTGGCCTTGACCTCCTGGGTTCAGGCAATCCTTCTGCCTCAGCCTTCTGGGTAGCTGAGATTACAGGCATGCACCACCATGCCTGGCTAATTTTTTTTGTAGAGGTGAGGTCTCACTATGTTGCCTGGACTAATCTTGAACTCCTAGGCTCAAGCAATTCTTTTGCCTTGGTCTCCCAAAATACTGGGATTATAGGCATGAGTCACCGGGCCCGACCTAGGAACATTTTGATTGACTGAAACTTATTATCTTCAGGTTACTCATGTTTCCGATACTGACATAAATTTTCCTTGTTCTTTTCATTTGTAGGTAGATATTTGTAGGTTAAAGGCTTGAGTTGAGAGGGACATGGGGAACTTTCTAGTATGATAGCAGTAGTCTATATCTTGATGGATTGCTGGATTTAGAGTCCAGAGTGCTCACTATTATACCATAGAACTGTTCTCTTGATGGGAACAACATTTAGACATTTGTTTATTAATACCAAAATGTACACTTAAAATGTGTGCCTTTTCCTGTATGTAAGGTCATTAAAGTTTTATTTTTTTATTTTTTTAATCGGAGTTTCACTTTGCTGCCCAGGCTAGAGTGCAGTGGCACAATCACAGCTCACTGCAGCCTGGACCTCCTGGGCTTAGGCAATCTTTCTACCTCCTGAATAGCTGGGACTAGCACTTGCCACCCAGCTATTTTTATTTTTATTTTGTAGAGACGAGTCTCACTATATTGCTCAGGCTGTATATACATTACTTTGTACTGAAGACATTTACTTTTATCAGTATCTAAAGTAAGCTTTGAGTGGGTATGTTTAAACTGCTTTCTTTAGTGTCATCTAATATATCAGTTAATCAGCAGCTTTTTGCATTGTGTTTAAGATTAAGGAATAATATCAGAATCACTTTTTATTTATTTGCAGAAGAAAAACAAATGTTCATCTTTACACCATTAAGATCAATGTTTATGTTATATTTAAATTATTATATTATTATTTTGCATGTGATTAATAGATTGAATTTGTAATTATGGATATCCATGCTTTTTAATTTTTTATTTTTTATTTTTTTTGAGTTGGAGTCTCACTCTGTCGCCCAGATTGGAGTGCAGTGGCCGCTCCCGGCCACCGCAGCCTCGACCTGCTGGGCTTTGGCGATCCTTCTGCCTCAGCCTTCCAAGTAGCTGGAACTACAGGCGTGCGCTACCACGCCCAGCTAATTTTTGATTTATTGTAGAGATGTAGTCTCGCCAAGTTGCCCAGGCGGGTCTCGAACCTGTGGGCTCAGGCAATCCACTCACCTCAGCCTCCCAAAGGCGCGGGATTACAGGCTGAGCCACCGAGCCCGGCTGGATATCCATGCTTATTACAATAATGGCACTTAACACTTATTGAGAACTTTCTGTATATGCTAGGCACTGTGTTAGGTGCTTTGTATGCAATATCTCATGCCACCCTATCAACAGCCCTATAAGGTTGTTACTATTATTATTTCCCACCAGAGGAGTTAAGAGTCTTTCTTAAAGTGGTACAACCAGTCAGTAGTAAAGGTGAGATATATACTATTGACTCTCCTTAAAAAGCATGAAGCATAGTGCCCGACACACAGAGATGGTTCAATAATATTAGCTGTAATAATGATGATTTTAAAAATACTAATTCAGCATTCTGTCTTTATGACATTCCCAACTTTCACCCTTTAGTTTCTGGTTCTATACAAGACAAAAAGGCTAATTTAAATTCAGTTTAACAAACATGTACTGAATTTGGTATTGAGGACTCTGAGGAGACTAGACTCAGTCCCTTTCCTCTGGGAGTTCCTAGTCAAATGGGGGAGTTTTGCTAAAGATTGCTGATTGTGGTAAAAGACACACAATACAGGTGTTGGTGTGGGTAGGGCAAGAGCAGTTTTGGTGGGAGATCTGTCCTGATCCTAATTGACAGAGTGGAGTATATTCACTTTCTTTTTTTTGTTGCGCCTCTCCCTCTTATGTTCACTTTTTATAGCTGTGCAACATGCCCTCCATGCGAGGTAGCCTGGCTACCCTGACCCTTCTTGGCAAGTTGGTGGATGCCATCCCTGCTTTGGCAGATAATCTTGTAATGGAGCATGGTGAGTGACCTGTGGGAAGAGCTGCCACTACCCTTTTACCTGCTTTGATCACAGTGCCATCTGAGCGGCCCATTCACTGTGTGTATCTGGGAAGTCGTTACTTTCCTGCTCTAGCCTTCAGTTTCCCATCTGCAAAATGCTTTATGTTGGTCAGTTTGAAAAGGTCAAGGCTGGGTGTGGTGGCTCATGCCTAAAATCCCAGCACTTTGAGAGGCTGAGGTGAGAGGATTCCCTGAGCCCACAGGTTCGAGACTGGCCTGGGCAACTTGGTGTGCCCTCATCTGTACTATAAATTAAAAAATTAGCTGTTTGTGGTAGTGTGTGCCTGTTGTCTCAGCTACTTGGAAGGCTGAGGCAGAAGGATCACCTGAGCCCAGTAGGTCAAGGCTATGGTGGCTGTGAGTGTGCCACTGTACTCCAACCTGGGCAACAAAGTGAGACTCGGACTCAAAAATAAAACAAAAACAAAAAATAGCCGGGCATGATGTCTCACCCCTATAATCCAAGCACTTTGGGAGGCCAAGGTGAAAGGATTGCCGGAGCCCATGGGTTGGAGACCAGCCTGGACAACTTGGTGAGACCTCATCTATACAATAAATCAAAAAATTAGCTGGGCATGGTAGCACATGCCTGTAATTCCAGCTACTTGGAAGGCTGAGGCAGAAGGATTGCATGAGCCCAGCAGATCGAGGCTGCAGTGGCCATGATCGTGCCACTGCACTCCAGCCTAGGTGACAGAGTGAGACTCCAACTCCAGAAAAAAAGAAAAGAAAAGGTCAGTTTCTTGACTGTGCTCTTGGCATTTCCATTCATTTTTGCACAAATTAATTAAGTACCTACTCTGAACCTTTCTTTTGGGTGGAGGGAGAATTAATTCTGGAATATAGTAGCATTTTTTCTTTTTCTTTCTTTTTTTTTTTGAAACAGGGTCACAGTCTGTTGCCCAGGCTGGAGTGCAGTGACATGTTCGTAGCTCACTGCAGCATCCAACTCCTGGGCTTAAACAATCCTTCCATCTCAGCCTCCTGAGTAGCTGTGACTACAGATATGTGCCACTACACCTAGATAACTCTTTTTTTTAACATTTATTTTTGTGGTCTCATCACGTTTCCAAGGCTCATCTTAGACTCTTGACCTTAGATAATCCTCCTGCCTTGGTCTCCCAAACTACTGGGATTACAGGTGTAAGCCACAGCATCTAGCTGGAAGCACTTTTTTCTTTTCTTTTCTTCTCATTCTGTCACCCAGATTGGAGTGCAGTGGCATGCTCACCACCACCCCAGCATCAACCTGCTGGGCTCAGGCAATCCTTCTGCCTCAGCTGATCCTTCTGCCTCAGCCTTCCAAGTAGCTGGAACTACAGGTGCACACTACCACACCTGGCAATTTTTAAATTTTATTGTAGAGATGAGGTCTTGCCAAGTTTCCCAGGCTGTTCTCAAGCCCGTGGACTCAGACAATCCCCTCACTTGGCCTCCCAAAGTGCTGGGATTACAGGCTTGAGCCACCATGCCCGGCCTTTAAAAATTTTTTTATTTTAAAGATGTGGGGTACAATTCAGGGTTAGTTATACAAACGTTCATTATGCAGGAGCCCTTGTTGATGAGTGTGACCCCCCACCTGGCAGATTCTCACTACTGACAATCCCGTCCCCCCTCAGCACTTTTTTCAATAAGTGAAAAGCAAATAAGTAAATCTTACTGAGAATTTACCCAAGGGTAAATCACTTAACTTCTCTAAGCTTTGGTTTTCCCTTTTGATTAAGTACCCAGAAAGCATTTATCGTGGGGGATTACTGGAGGTTACCATTACTGCCCCACTGGGGATAATAGATTGGAGGATGTCTTTTTTTTAGAAACAGAGTCTTGGCCGGGCTCAGTGGCTCAGCCTGTAATCCCAGCACTCTGGAAGGCTGAGGCGAGAGGATTGCCTGAGCCCGTGGGTTCGAGACCCACCCGGGCAACTTGGCGAGACCTCATCTCTACAATAAATCAAAAACCAGCTGGGCATGGTAGCGCATGCCTGTAATTCCGGCTACTTGGAAGGCTGAGGTGGAAGGATCACCGGATCCCAGCAAGTCGAGGCTGCGGTGGCCGGGAGCGTACCACTGCAGTCCAGTCTGGGTGACAGAGTGGGACTCCAACTCAAAAACAAAACAAAACAAAACAGAGTCTTGCTCTGTTGCCCAGGCTGGAGTGTAGTGAAGTGATCATAGCTCACTGCAGCCTCATATTCCTGGGCTCAAATGATCTTACCAAGTAGCTGGGACTTATAAGCATGCATTACCATTTCTGGCTGGAATTTCATATAGTAGTTGACATTATGAGGTTTCCTCAAGCTCCTTGGTTGTTTTCTGGACAGGTAACCTGATGGAGCATCTGTTGAGAGGCTTAGTATACCCCAATGAGGGAGTGCAAGCTTCTGTCTGTTACCTTTATGGGAAGATATACTCCTCACCAATGGCAGCTGAAATACTTTCGGGACATTTCCGAGAGAAGCTTTGTCCCCTCTTCCTTCCCACCCTGGATGGTGCCAAGACAAAGGAGCTACAGATCAATTGCTTGGGTAAGACATGGGGCTGGAGAGAAAAGGAAGAGTAAGCTTTTGAGGTTTTGCTATGGGACTTAAGATACTGGCTGCTCTTGTAGTGGGGAAATTTGCTGCTTTGTGAAGAGTAGAAGCCATGGGTTTGGTAGATAAGATGCACACACTGTCTAGATGCCTAGAGTTGGTGTGGCATCTTAATGTAGCATTTGGAAGGAAAAGAAGAAAAGTGGGACAGCAATTTTTCTGCCTCCAGTCTTTACTGCCTGCATTCGTGTATCCTGTACTTACTGCCAAGTTAATCTTCACAGTGCACAGCTTGCATACTGTCACCTTCTTAGTCAGAAAACCTCCTGTGGCTCCCTCTGGTCTCCAGGGTAAAGTCCAGGTGTCTTAGTCCATTTCGTGCTGCTATAACAGAATACTACAGACTGGGTAATTTATAATGAATACAAGTTTTTTTGTTTATTATTCTGGAAGTTGGGAAGTCCAAGATCAAAGGACAGGCATCTGGTCAAGGCCTTCTTGCTGTGTTATCCCATGGCAGAATGGCAAAGAGAGAGAGCGCAAGAGGGGGTCAAACTCGTTTTATGGGGAACTCACCTCTGTGGTAATAAACCCACTCCAATGATAATGGCATTAATTCATTCATGAGGACCCAAATCCAAACATTCACATCCATGATGCAAACACTTCCCATAGACCCCACCTCCCAACACTGCTGCACTGCCAAGTTTTCTTCACATGACCTTTGGGGGACACATTCAAACCATAGCACTGGGTTTCTCTGTTTGTTATTTGAGGCTCCTTAGGAGCCCCAGTATACCCTTTTATCCTCTTCTGCTATTTCCTTACATAAATACATAATATCTATCAAATGCTTCTGAGCAGGAATCTTTTATATTTTGGATAGTACAGATGGACACTGCGATTGGTGACTGAGTAAGGGCCTGTTCTATAGCAGAATCTATAGGGAAAAGCATAGTCTTTGGGTGACAGCAGATTATTTTCATGATATGGACAAAGAGCCATGAATAATCCAGCCACACACCATGAGCATTCATTCTGTACCAGGCCCTGTGCTGGGTTCTGGGGTCACAGAGATGATTAGACCCAAGCTCTATCCTGGAGGAGCTCACAGGCCAGTGTAGAAGACAGATGTGGACAATTAGAGACTAGTACAGTGGTGAGTGCTGTCATGGAGGTACACAGAAGAGGGTAGGAGCAGGGGACAGGAGAGGCTTTCTAAAGGAAAGGATGCCTAGACTGAGTTCTGGAGTGTGAGAAGGAATTGGAGGGAAGGAGAAGAGGAAGGCAGAAGTATGGTCCAAAGCAGAAGGCATGAAACTGCCTATATCTGTGGTAATTGGAGCAGGGCAGTATTGGAGTTAGAGCATATTAGAGCTAAAGGAGAGGCAAATAAGGGCCCTAGGGTAAGGCCCTAGGCAGTCCCAGAGCTGATCTGGTCATAGCTGAGGGAAATCTTGACTGATGGTACTGGGAATTTTCATTTTTTAAATTTTTTAAGGTTTTTGAGTTGGAGTCTCACTCTGTCACTCTGACTGGAGTGCAGTGGCATGCTCACGGCCACTGCAGCCTCAGTCTGCTGGACTCAGGTGATCCTTCTGCCTCAGTCTTCCAAGTAGCCAGAACTACAGGCACATGCTACCATGCCTGGCTAATTTTTAAAATTTACTTATTGTAGATATGAGATCTCACCAAGTTGACCAGACTGGTCTCGAACCCATGGGCTCAGACAATCCTCTTGCCTCAGCCTCCCAAAGTGCTGGGATTACAGGCTTGAGTCACTGCGACTGGACAGGGAATTTTCATTTTAAATGTTATCTCTTCTGTGGAGCCTTTCCTTCCTGCTCTTTCCTCCAGCCAGGTGTGTGGTTGCATCCTTTGGAGCCTTCAAGTGCTATGTGTCTTATATTCTGTTATATATCATCTTCATTTACCTTAAAACCCAGGATTCCCATAAGCTCTTTAAGGTCTCATCCTGATTGACCTCTCTAGCCTCATCTCTCACCTTTATGTGTCTCTTCCCTAACTCAGCCTTACTAAACCAAGTGAATCTCCAGGAACACATCATGCTCTTGTGCCTTTGTGTACTCTTCCCTCTGCCCAGAAGTTGGCTCCCCACCTAACTTCTAATCCTTCAAGATATGGTTGGATTAGATGCTTTATCTGATTTCCCACAGTTCTCTGGGTTTTCTTTTTCACATCATTTAACATTAATATTTATGCCCTTACTTGCACTAGGGCCCTTACTTGTCCCCTTTAGTTCTGATGTGCTCTAACTCCAATACTGCCCTGCTCCAAGTTATCACAGATACACGCTGTTTCATGCCTTGAGGTTTGGACCATTCTTCTACTTTTCTTCTCTCCCTCCCAATTCCTGATCACACTTCAGAACTCATGCAATTTTTGTTTGCCTATTAATTAAATTGTGTATTATTTAGAATGCTTTGGTGGCTTCCCATGACTTCCAGCATAAGGACCAGAAGTCTTAATTAACATAACCTTTGTGGTCTTTCATAATATGAATACCTTTCAAACATTTTTGGGCTTTCTCTTTTTTTTTTTTCACCATTTTGGATTTCTTTAGTTCCTAGAATGTTATTCCCTCTACCTGGAATGTGTCTCCCCACTTTACATAGTTTTTCCTGCTTATTCTTCAGGTTCAGCTTACATGGCACTTGCTGATGAAAAGCTTTACTGATCCCTTGTGCTAGGTTAGCTCCTTTTGTATACATTCTTATGTATATGGGTATTCTTCATTTGTATCATTTATCACAGTTATAAGTATACTTATACTTACTTCTATATCTATTTTTCCTGCAGGAGTGTATGCTCCGTTTGTTAGTACAAAATTATTTATTGAGTTACTGCTTTTTGTTCAGGAACTGAATCAGCTGATGGATAATATTGTGATAAAACTGACATTATGCCTGCCCTCATGAAACATATTGCTCAGTGGGGCAATCAAGGCTATGTTTATCTTGCTTACTGTTGAATCCCTAGACCCTTAGGCCTAACATTTAGTATGTTCTCACTAGATTCTTGTGGAAGAGAGCTGGGTTGCAGAAAGCAAATTGATGCTTAAGGATTCTTTTTTTTTTTTTGAGTAGGAGTCTCACTCTGTCACCCTGGCTGGAATGCAGTGGCAAACTCATGGCCACCACAGCCTTGACCTGCTGGGCTCAGGTGTTCCTTCCGCTTCAACCTTCCAAGTAGCTGGAACCACAAGCATGCACCACCCTGCCTAGCTAATTTTTTGATTCATTGTAGAGACAAGGTCTTGTCAAGTTTCCCAGGTTGGTCTCAAAGCCCTGGACTTAGGCAATCTTCTTGTCTCAGCCTCCCAAACTGCTGGGATTATAGGCATGAGCCACTGTGCCTGGCTGGTGCTTAAGGATTCTAATAATGAATCCTTCATATCTAGAGAGACATGAAAGAATTTCTCTGGGGATGTCTGAGGGGATATCTTGAGAATTTTCTTATGCCTATGTTCCTCTCTCCTTACTTTCCAACTACTTTGTTTCCTAGGGTTGCTGAGGCAACTGTTGAAGTATGACCTCTTTGTTTCCTTGATCATGAACAAGTCTGCACTGGCAGAAAATGCTGACAGTATTGAGGGGCCACCAGGAGAGACCTCACTGCCTTTGGTGCTCAAAAAGGTAGGTTGTTGGCCAGATGCAGTGGCTCATGTCTATAATACCAGCACTTTGGGAGGCTGAGATGGGAGGTTTGCTTGAGGCCAGAGGTTTGAGACCAGCTTGGGGAGCATAGCGAGACTCTGTCTCCAAAAAATACATTAAAAAAAAATTCAGGTGTGGTGGTATACACCTGTTGTCCCAGCTACTTGGGAGGCTGAGATAGTAGGATCACTTGAGCCCAGGAGTTTCAGATAGCAGTAAGCTGTGGTCATGCCTACTACTCTCCAGCCTAGGTGATGGAGCGAGACCTTTCTCCAAAGAAAAAGGTAATTGTTTTGTGATGCCTAATCTCAAGCTTCAATATAAGGGAAGCCAAGTGCATCCTAGGCCTTATTTAGACAGAAATCTCTCTATCTAAGATTTCCACAAGTGTTTTCTTACTGACCAAAATGATACGTTTTTAGAAGACTCAAAGTAGGTTTTTTTTTTCAGTTGTAAATTCTTTGTTTTTTTTTGAGTCGGAGTCTCACTCTGTCGCCCAGACTGGAGTGCAGTGGCCGCTCCCGGCCACCGCAGCCTCGACCTGCTGGGCTCCGGTGATCCTTTCGCCTCAGCCTTCCAAGTAGCTGGAATTACAGGTGCGCGCTACCACGCCTGGCTAATTTTTTGATTTATTGTAGCGATGAGGTCTCACCAAGTTGCCCTGGCGGGTCTCGAACCCATGGGCTCAGGCAATCCACTAACCTCAGCCTCCCGAGCCGCGGGATTACAGGCTGAGCCACCGAGCCCGGTTTGTAAATTCTTATATCTGTACCCTTCCCTTCATATCTAGGCTGTCTGAAAATGGGGAATATATACAGCAACAGAAACAAAACCATCTCAATTGTTTTAGGGATAAGTTGCTCAGCTTGGTACTGAAAACTATCTTTATCTGAATCCTGCTCATCCCTTTAGCCTCACTGTCCTATCTCTTCCACCCAAAAACCCAATGTTCCAGCTATATACAACTTCTCCCTGGTCCTGCATTTGCTGGGTCATTCTGTCTCTGTGCCTGTGCAGATGTTCTTCTCTTCTGCCTGTAAGGCCTTTGCCTTCTCTTTGTCTTAGAGACCTGAAGGTTGATCTAATTCAACCTTCAGGTCTCTAAGGCTCCCCTGTCAACCCAGCTTCTTTAGTCAGCAATGTACTCCTCTGTCACAGTGCTCACAGTATATTGTGGTTGACTGGCTGGGAGCTTCTTCAAGCAGGACCTGACTCTGCTCAGCACAGGGCCTAGCAGAGCTGCAGATCCTTGTGTGATAGCAGGAGTTGATTGCCCAGACTGTGAAGCTCCTTCTGCAGGAAGAAGGTAGAACTCTGGTCAGAACTGAGAAGAGGACAGATCGGGTTAGGTAAAAATCCAGAGCAAACTTCAAATCTTTGTTTCTCTGGGATGCCTTTAGAATGGTCTATGCAAGGCCTGTGAACTCTGAGGAGCACGTCCTATGTCTCTGAACCAGATAATCGCACATGAGTTTCCTTTCTGTGTTTATTTCCCTGCTGCCTGGAGTTCATGTTAACATTTAGGTAGAACATTTGATACTGGGCCCATCAGGAGTACAAGAACTTACAAAAACGGTCATATGGCCTCACAGGGCACCACACCAGCATGGTGAGAGAACTCAGCCTAGAGTGAGAGACCTTTGTAGAGATAGCAATCTTGGTTTAGAGGTCCAAGTTTCCATCCATATGTGGAGACTCTTCTTCCATTGACAGTATTGGATGATTGGGGTTTTATTTTACTGTAGCAACCAGCAGGATTGGGACTAGGAGAGGTGTGTGAGTTACCTTGGTTGCAGAATTTAAGTAGGCGATAAAAAACTCAGTGATCATGATAAATAAAAACTTTAAAAATTAAAATTAGTGCAAAAAATTAATAATGAACAAAATATCTTTTAAAAATTTTGGGGAGAGTTACGCTGGTATCCTATTTCCATCAGAAATTTAGAATGACATAATTTCCACATTTTGGAAACTGATGCAAAACTTGAAATGAAATGTGGGCAAAATTAGCAAAAACAATTTGATGCTAATCTCAAGTGTCAAAATAGATACAGATGTTCTAATAAAATAATATTAAATTTAACCCAAAACTTTGTTAAAAATAATACATTGTACATATATGTGTACTCTATTATTGAAAAGCAATCATCGCCGGGAGCGGTAGCTCAAGCCTGTATCCAAGCACTTTAGAAGGTAGAGGCAAGAGGATTGCCTAAGCTCAGGGATTTGAGACCAGCTTGGGCAACTTGGTGAGACCGTGTCTCTACAATAAATAAAAATAAAATAAAATAAAATAAGCCTGGCGTGGTAGTGTGTGCCTGTAGTTCCAGCTACCTGGAAGGCTGAGGCTGAAGGCTCACCTGAATCCAGTAGTTCAAGGCTGCAGTGGCCGTGAGCATGCCACTGCACTCCAGCCTGGGCAACAGAGTGAGACTCTGACTCAAAAAAAAAAAAAGAAAATGTCTTTAAGATGTAAAACCTAGGCCGGGTGTGGTGGATCACGCCTATAATCCCAGCACTTTGGGAGGCTGAGGTGAGAGGATTGCCTGAGTCCACGGTTCGAGACCAGCCTAGGCAATTTGGTGAGAACTCATCTCTACAATTAAATAAAAAAATAGCCGGACATGGTGGTGCGTTCCTGTAGTTCCAGCTACTTGGAAGGCTGAGGCAGAAGGATTGCCTGAGCCTAGTGGGTCAAAGCTGTTGTAGCATACCACTGTATTCCAGCCTGGGCGACAGAATGAGACTCTAACTAAAAAAAAAAAAGGTGTAAAACCTGTTGCTATATTTAGTTATTTTAAAAGATAAGTGTTATCATTCTTTATGATTGTGAAAACAGCATTGTCTAAACAGATGTATATTATATCTATATCTATGGTATATATCTATATATATATCTACATATGTGTATTATCTATCCATTCATAAGATGTATAAAAATGATGCATTTGAAATAAGATGTATAAAAATGATGCATTTGGTTGAGGCTGTGATGGCTGTGAGTGTGCCACTTCACTCCTGCCTGAGCAACAAGAGTGAGACTCCCAACTCAAAAAAAAGAAAAAAAAGATGCATTTGAAATACATGAGTGTGTCTGATTAAAGATGCATTTAAAGTAGGCCAGGCTCGGTGGCTCAGCCTGTAATCCTAGCACTTTAGGAGGCTGAGATGAGTGGATTGCCTGAACCCGCAGGTTCGAGACCAGCCCGGGCAACTTGGCGAGACCTTGTTGCTACAATAAATTTAAAAAATTAGCTGGGCATAGTAATGTGCACCTGTAGTTCCAGCTACTTGGAAGGCTGAGGGGGAAGGATCACCTGAGCCCAGCAGGTCGACCCTGGGGTGGCAGTGAGTGTGCCACTGCACCCCAACCTGGGTTGTGGAGTGAGACTCCAACTCAAAAAAAATAAATAAATAAGATATGAGCACATAAATAGTGTTCAGATTCATGTATATCCATTCAGGAAATGTAAAATAAGATCACTATTTCAAATCTTCCAGATGATAAAGAGAATTTTTTTTTTTTTTAAATCTATGATTAAGACTACTGGCTGAGCTGGGCTTGGTGGCTCAACCTATAATCCCAGCACTTTGGGAGGCCGAAGTGAGTGGATTGCCTGAGCCCGCGGGTTCAAGATCCACCTGGGCAACTTGGCGAGACCTCATCTCTACAATAAAGATCAAAAAATTAGCTGGGCATGGTAGCGCATGCTTGTAGTTCCAGCTACTTGGAAGGCTGAGTCGGAAGGATCGCCAGAGCCCAGCGGGTTGAGGCTGCGGTGGCCGGGAGCGGCCACTGCACTCCAGTCTGGGCAACAGAATGAGACCCCAACTCAAAAAAAAAAAAAAAAAAAGACTATTGGCTGAAAATAAGGGAGATTGGGTTTACTTGCATGGAGAATGAAAGTCCTTTTAAAAACAGGTACAAAATATAAAAAGTATCATTGAAAAAAACACTGATTTCTGTAAGTGCACAGATAACACATAAATGAGAAAAAGCCTGATAAAGTAGATTATTTCCAAAATGAACATTTCTCTGTTGCAAAATTTCAAAATTTTAAATGAAGACTGTCATATATACTTCTGGCATTTTTGAAGTTGCCAGAGTCTATTGCTATTCTTTCTTGAGAAAATAGGCTGTTGATCAGTCTATTCTCTCAAAATTCAGGTCCCTGGGAATATACTGTCAACGTTTGTGTTCCTGCTGTTGCAAGGTTGATTCATTCATTCATTTGGTTAAGCATTAATGTGATGTGTTATGCACTGTGTTAGGAACTGGAAAGATTATGGTATGAAAACAGACAAGTTTCTTACCCTTATACAGCTTACAGTCTAGTGAGGAAGGTAGATAAACAAGTATGAAGAAGCAAAGTAATTACAGATTGTGATAAGTGCTATGAAGGAAATAAAGAAGAGATAAGATCATAACAGAGAAAGCTATTTACAGGTTGAGTGATTGGGCAGGGCCTCTCTGAAGGGCTGACACTTGAAGAATTAATATGAAATGATATTGAAGAGTGAACAGAAACATATTTTGGGCAGAAGAAACAGCAGATGAAAGCAGGAGGCAGGGAAGGGCTTGATATGTTCTGGAAAGAGATGGAGGCCAGTGCAATGTTTGCATTCCATGGACAAGCAAAAAATGCTATGAACTTATGCATCAACTCAATAGTTTTGTAACAGTGAGACTCTCTCATTAGTTCTAGGTGTGGTAGGAACCCTCCTGAAATTCAAGTTCCCAAAACCAGCGGAGAGCCAGCCTTACTGACAGGGCTTTCTGAGGATAACAGCCTCAGGCATGCTGTATTAACACTCAGCAAAGTGAGGATCATAGTGGAACCTTTTTTTTATGTTACAGGATTGTTGCAAACATCAGAACCAGATGAGGACTGAGAATGTACTTTTTTCAGTGAAGGCCTGAGCCCTTATTGGTTATGGTTTCAGTGTTCATTGAGAGCCTCTGGTGGATTTCACATTGTATTATTTTGTTACTTTTTTTAACCTGCTACTGTTTGCATGGACTCTTTTCCATAGTCCATAACTGTTCTCCAGGAGCACCATCCTTAATGCCTGGTGCCATGTATTGCAGAAGGGATTAGAGAGGAATTTGGCGGCTGCCCTGAGCTACTCAAGCCAGTTCCTCTGGTTCTGTCAGTGTTGTGACTGGAGCATTTTTTGCTGCATGTTTCTCTAGCTTCTCCTTTCTAGAGATGAGACCCTGCAGGTGGCCAGTGCCCACTGTATAACTGCAGTGCTGGTCCACTCCCCAGCGAAGCATGCCCTGGCCTTCATCCATGCTGACATCCCAGGTAAGGGGGCCTTTCTAACTTTCTCTTCCCCATACTAGAGAGATGGGGTAGTGACAAGTTCAATTGTCCATGTTAGACGCTAAGAAGTAGACTTTATAACATCTGAATCTTCTTGCTGCAGATTTCTTATATGACCTTGAGCAATTTATTTCTGATTTTTGGTATTTATTTGACCACTTGGGAATAAACACCTGATATAAGGTGATGGAAAGACATGTGAACCAGGAAGGCAATGGGAACTAGTATTTCTCAAGGGCCTGCTATGAGTCAGGAAATATGCCCTGAGGTGTATTGCAAATGTTACCACATTTAGGTCCTTACCTTCGTTATTTTATAGATAAAGAAATTGAGGCTCAGAGAAGGGAAATAATTGGTTTAATTTGACAAATCTAGCCATTGATAGAGATGGGATATAAAAATCAAGTCTCCCTGGCTCTAAAAGCTCTTTTTTCTGCATCATACTGCTACTCATCCTGAGAATTAGGACTCTTAAGTTTCAGTCCCACCTTTCTCCCTAACAGTGCCTCTTCTCTGGGCCTCAGTTTCCCCAGCTGTTAAAAAGAAGAGGTTAGACCAAAATTATGAGGGAACTTTTCAGATTTGTCTGTGAATTGATGATTGTACCTCATGGAGAGTGTGTGTGAATGGATGAAGTAACAGGAGTAAGATGTTGAATAAATCCAAGGCCTTAATGAGCATTAGTTAAGGGATCCAAATCATATGGCTGTCATTTATTGTTTTTTTTTTATCCTCTCCCCTGCCAGAGTTCCTCTTTGAGCATCTTTCGTCTTCCAGCGAAGTGCTCATCTGGTCCAGCTATAACTGCCTGATACTCCTGGCAGAAGAGCCATGCTTTTTTTCCAAGTGTCACACGGTGTATGGTTGGTAGTGTGGGCCCTATCCTAACTCTGGGCTGGGTGGATAGCAGTTTGAAGTTGGGCAGCAGCAGCAGTGGTGAAGGTCTAGCTTCACCTTAGAGGAGAGCGTTGGATCTGGACATTTTTATCAGCCCAAACTCTTTGTCAGATTCCATATGCAAGCATTAATGTCCAAACATTCTGCACTTCACTGATTAGCTGAAGTATACATGTTTAGACTTTTTAGCAAGGGAAAGACACTCCTGTTTGCCACTAAGTGAATTCCTATTGTATGTTAACAACTCTAAACAGTGTTATTCAGCCTTGGATTCATTCCAATCCCATGCCCCAGATATTTGTTTATCCATTCAGGTAGTCCCTATGTTTTGCTGATTTATCCTTTCAGAGTTTCTTGAAACTGTCCCTTCCTTGTCTGGGACTTTTTATGTCACATCTGGATTTTTAAAGTAGGCACATTCAATCATTCATTTAATATTATATGTTCCTAGTCTATGACAGGCACCAAACCGGGACCTGGAGATTTAGAGATAAATAACATGATCCTTACCCTTAGGGAAGCTGTGGAGAGAGAAATGAACAGACAATTTCAATAGGAGCTGATTAGAACTCTGCTAGAGAGAAGTGCAGGAGCTGTTGGGACTCAGGGGAGGTTCACAACTCTGTCTGAATGAATCAGGAGGCTTCCTGGATGAAGTGAAGTTTCAACCTGATTCTTCAAGGAGGAATAGGAGTATGCAAAGTTGAGATGTGACTTAGTCAGTAGGCATTCACTGAATACCTTGAGTGCCGGTCCTAGGCTATGGATTATCCTGGGTGTTGGGGAAACAGAGATGAATTATATAATCTGATCTCATAGTCCAGTCCCATTAGCTCAACCTTGTCAGGGTCTCTCCAACAGGGGCCTCCAGCCAATCAATATGTGCTGTCCAGAGCCTGTCACCTCCCCTGGTGGGCAGTGAAGGAAATACAGAGCACTGATCCCTGGGCTTTGTCATGTCATCCTGGGGTAGGGATCGAGGCAGTGGTAAGGAGCCTACAGGGAATCCTGAAGATGAACAACACAGAGCTGCACAAGCAGGGCCTGCTGCTCCTTGCTGAGATCCTGACTCGGTGAGCAAAGTGGTGGAACATTAGGTCTGAGGGGCCAAACTGGAGAAGGAAAAAGAGCTCTTACTCCTGGTGAAGTTGGTGATAGGAGTTCACCCACTCTTTTCTCGTCTACCATTTCTCAGGCAGCCGGAGGAGATCAAGCTGTTCACAAGCTCAGCCATGTGCAGAGATGCTGGCCGTGTCCTCCAAGAAGCAGTTAGCAGCCCTGTGCTGGAGGTAGCTGCTGAGGCAGTGAAGGCCACTTCTGCTTTCCTGAGGTGAGAACCCAGGAAGGCTGAACTTTCTACCCCTGCATATAACAGAGGGCCTGCCAAGGCGAGGGCAGCTGATATTATAAACATCTCTAGATTACTTATAATGCCTAATACACTCAGCCTTCTACATCCATGGGTTTTACATCTGTGGATTCATCCAACCAGGGATTGAAAATATATATATTTTAAATGGATGGTTGCATCTGTACTGAACATGTACAGACTTTTTTTCTTGTCATCATTCCCTAAACAATATAATTTAACAACTATTTACATAACATTTGCATTGTAGTAGGTATTATACATTTAGTCCTAATACCTTATTAGGTATAATAAGTCATCTAGAGTTGATTTAATGTATGTGGGCAGATATGCATAGGTTATATGCATATACTAATCATTTCATATAAGAGACTTAAGCATACCTGGTTTTGATGTCCCTGAGGGTCCTAGAACCAATCCCCCATGGATACTCAGGGATGACTATTCAATATAAATGCTATACAAATAGTTGTTATATTGTATTTTTAGAAATTGTATTATTATTTATTGTTGTATTTTCTTATTTTTTAAATGTTTTTGATCAGGAGTTGGTTGAATCCATGGATGTAGAACCTGTGGATACAGAGGGCCGACTGTACTTCCAAAGTGATTTGTTATGTTATCATGTCTTCTGTATTTTCTTTGTTGTTTTGAATTTATATCTTGAAACAAACAAACAAAAAATCCCTCTACTTTTATTTTGGTAAGGAGTAGAGGAGGCAACAGTGTCTTGTATGTTAATTCCATCATCTTTAACCAGAAGCTGGCAACTTTTTTTTTGTCATCCAGATTGGTGTGGGTGACAAACTCCTGTGCTCAAGTGATCCTCTCACTTCCTGAGTAGCTAGGACTATAGGTGTGCTACCACACCCAGCTAATTTTAAATTTTTTTAATAGAGATTGGGTCATGTTATGTTGCCCAGGCTCGTCTCAAGCTCCTGGCCTCAACCAATCTTCCCACCTTAGTCTCCCAAATCCCTGGAATTACAGACATGAGTCAATTATGCCTGTTCCTAAACAGGTAACTCTCTAACACTTGTGAACTTCAGCCTTCTTTTATTTTTTATTTTTTGAGTTGGAGTCTCACTCTGTCATCCAGGCTGAAGTGCAGTGGCACACTCACAGCCACTGCAGCCTTAACCTGCTGGGCTCAGGGAATCCTTTCGCTTCAGCCTTCCAAGTAGCTGGAACTACAGATGTGCGCCACCACACCTGGCAAATTTTTAAAAAATTTATCGTAGAGATGAGGTCTCACCAAGTTGCCCAGGCTGGTTTCAAACCTTGGGCTCAGGCGATCCTCTTACCTCGGCCTCCTGAAATGCTGGGATTATAGGCGTGAGCCACCATGCCCAGAACTTCAGTCTTCTGGGGCTTGTTCTCTTACTGTAGTTTCTCCTTGAGTGCTCTTCATTCACTCACAGAACTGCAGATACTAGCTTTATGTTGATAATGTCCAAATCTTTAATTTTAGCCTAAAATGCCTGTATTAGTTTCCTGTTGTTACAGGACCACATTACCACAAACTTGGTGACTTAAAACAACATAAATTTATCTTCTCATGGTTTTGGAGGCCAGATGTTCAAAATCAAGGTGTCACCAGGGCTGCAAACCCTTTGGAGGTTCTAGAGGAGAATCCTTCCTTGCCTCTTCCAGCTTCTAGAGGCTCCAGGGGTTCCTTGGCTTATGGCCACCTCACTCTAATCATTCTCTTTGTGATCATTTTGCCTCCTCCTCTGTGTGTGTATGCAATTTCCCTCTGCCTCTCTCTTATTAGGATACTTATGATGACATTTAGGGTCCATCTAAATAATACAGGGTAATGTTCTCATCTCAAGATCTTTAATCATATTTATAAAAACTTTACTATAGAAAGTAACATTCACAGATTCCAGGTACCTGATATCTTTGGCGCCACCATTTAGCCCACTACAGTATTTTCCTGAGCTCCAGACCACATTTCCAACTGCCTGGTGCCTTATTTCAGGAACTTCAATCTCAATCTGTTCATACTACCAGCATATAGAGAAAAGTACCCAATTTGGGATCTAAAGACTTAAATTTGCGTTCCTCACTCCATAATTGGTACTTGTTCACTTCTTGCTCACTCCTCTGGTCTTCTTTCTATTTCTTGAACTCATTGAACTTATTCCTGTCATAAGGTCTTTCTACTAATTGTTTTCTCTGCCTAAAATATTCTTCTCTTAAATCTTTGCATGACTGCCTTCTGTTGTCATTCAGTGTCCTTTTCTAACTAACATATCAGACTGCTATAGTACCTATCAAACACTTGACAGTTTTTGTTTATTTACTTGTTTTGTATTTCTCCCACCCCCCCACCCCCTCTAAAATATAAGCACCAGGAGATCAGGGATCTTGTTATTTTTTTTTACTACTTTATCTCTCTTTCCTAATAGTAGTCAATATAGAAAAAAATGATGTTAAAATAGATGGTGAAACTAAGAGATCCTAGGGCTAAGATGGGAAATTATTTCTTAGCAAGATGTTTGAACTCTTAAAAAAAGTAATGGAGGAAACCCATATTTATTTATATAGTAACCTTTATTTTGTTACCATGTTTTGTCTCTTAAATTTTTAACACATTAATATGTTCAAATAAAAAATAAAATAGTATGGAGGGCTTATAATGAAATGAAAAGTTCTTTAACCTTGTCTCTACTTCCTAAGGGAAAATAATTTTTACTCATTTGGCTTTAGTTATGGTGGTCATCTCCCTAAATCTAAATAATAAACTTATAATGCTGTTTCTTTATTTGTCAATTTAAGACATTATTTACTAACTTGCCCATAAGAAAGATCAAGATTTAATATTTTTTGCCTTCTCTATATCTCCTTGGCATTTTTGCTGGTTAATATTTTATGTATTTGAATCTTTAAATGACATACCTAAAACTGATATTTCTTGTTCCCTCGTTTTGAAGCAGTGTCTCCTGACTTTCTACTTGGTTAACTCTCTCCTTTCTGCTCTCTTCCCTGCTTTCTACTTCTCAAGGTCAGTCAGCTATACCTTTAATTTTACATTGTAAAAGTTGATATTTATAGTCTCTTCTATAACTATATTTAAGTCTTTGTGATTTTACTCTAGATTGTTTCTAAAAACTGAAACAAAAAATAGCATTTACATTGCAATGATTTCAGTCTGTCTCCTTTCCCTCTTTGTCCTTTCCTGGATTTGAATCTCTAAATCGAGGACATGCATCCCAGAGTGGGCGAGATGGGTAAGCCAATAGGGTCACAAAGGTATAGAGTAAGAGCAGTGTCAATTAGAGGTACCCATGCAGAGCTGGAAGTCTCCCAGGAAGTCAGTGTTAAGGGGGACCAGTAGCAGCTTTCAACAGAAAGTGGTATTTGAATTGTGCTATGAGGGATAAGAGAAATTTAGATTTGTGGAAAGATTAGGATTAGCAAAAAGATGTAAGAGAGAAAGTATAGGGATTACTGAGGATACAGTAGCCAGTTGGCCAGCAGATTATATGAAGCGGGTGGTACCTGGAGAAGGACAGCTGATTGGGTCAAAACTGTGGAGATAGATGGATAGAGGGATTAATCCTTGGGTGATTTCACTTTCCTTTTGGAGCTAGAGTGCAGTGGTGTGATCATAGCTCACTCAAACTCCTGGTCTCAAGGATCCTCCTGTTTTGGACTCCCAAAGTGCTGGGATTACAGTCTTGAGTCATGGTTACCCATCCTGATTTTACTTTTGACTTTAACTTCTCAGAACATTTACTGAGATGGTCCCTCTGAGGTGGAGTGGTTCAGAGGATCTCTGGGAAGGTACAACTAGAAGGAAAAATGAGATGTGAGAGTTACTGAAAATAATTTAAAGATGGAAGAACCAGGGCTTGATGATCAGTGTAGAATCTACAAACTTAGAGCTTCCAGAGATAACAAAGGAAAGCAAAAATCAAGCCCTAACTATATACAACTGACTGAGAACCTATTAGAAGACCCAACATATTATTCCCAGTGTTCAAAAAAGGCTTAGGGATGAGAGTTAACAGGTTTTCTTTCTTGGCAACTATGCTAGGTTGAATAGTGTCCACCCAGTATTTATGTCTATCCTAAATGTGGAAATAGGGTCTTTGTAAATATAATTGAGTTAAGATAAGGTCGTGCAGCATGGACTGTAAATCCAATGACTGGTCTGATTATGAGGAGAGGAGATTTGGACATAACATTGACACAGACATACACAGAGGGAAGGTGGCCATGTGAATAAGCCTCCTGGTTTGTGGTAATTTATCAGCCTTAGGAAACCAATACCCTGTCAAATAATCATTCATTCATTTAACATCTTTTTTATTCAGCATTAATTTATAATGCATCTAGCTCTGTTTATGTATAGTGAAAAGATGGTCCATGGCCTCTTGGAACTCACAATTAAACTAGTCAATGAATATGAAGGTCCAAATGGACAATAAGTTTTACCTGTCCACATTTACCCCACACTCATAATGATTTACTCTCCAAAAGTAGTTTTCTGGTCTCTACTTATAATTTTGCAGAATGGGAAACTCACTTTTCCCTAGTCATCTCTACCCCTATAGTTTTGACTCTTAGAAAGTTCTTCTGTATGCTGACAAGAATCAGGTCCTGATAACATTTACCTGTTGATTATGGTTTTCCTCAGTGAAGTAACAGAGAGGAAGTCAGATCTGTCTTCCTCAAGAGAGTTTGTATGACTTATTGGAGAACAGTGGCCATTACATCTCTTGCTGCATCTTCAGTTCTAAGTAGTGCTTCTTTCACCAGGAAGCCCTTCTGGGTGAGAAAATCTTGTGTCCTTAATAACAACAATAATAGTCATAGTTGACATTTATAAAGCATCATGTTAAGTGCTTGGCATGCATTATCTAATTATTTAATTTGATCCTCAGAATAATTCTTTGAGAAGAATGCTGTTAACCCTCTTAACAAATGAGGAAGCTGATGGCTAGAGAGGGCAAAGGATGTACAGAAAGTTGTGCAGCTAGATAGATGTTGGAATAAATATTTTTCCATTGTCTGAGAGCCTGGGGGTATCTTGGGGGTATCTTGGAGGTACCCTTGCCTCGCCCCAAGCTTGCTTTTGTCTCTCTGGATGCAGGAAGGACCATCAGAGTGCTCCACCTGTGAGGTATGGGGAACTACAGGCCTTGCTGGAAGCCATGCTTGGCCGGTGTGTGGAGCTTTCCCAGACTCCGCTGAAGAGGAGGCCACTGGTCAGTGCACTTCAGTCTGCTTCTTCTGAAGATCATGCTGTAATATGTTTTTAGAAAAAAAATTATTATTATTATTATACATGTCCTTACCTTTGTATGCCATTTTATAGCTTTTTCTCATGCACACACAGCTACAATGAAATGTTATTTTTTCCCCCCTAACTGCAGAAGTATGAGGCTCAAGGATTACTATCCCCATTTTTATAGGTGAAGAAATTGAAGCCACAGGGGTGAAATAATTTTTCTCTAAGGTCAAAAATGATCAAGTACCTGAACCTGGATAGTAAACCCCAGGGCGTTTCTAACCAAGCCTATTATATACTTTGCCTCCATATATTATCCAGGCAGGTATAGTAAACATGCTCATAAAATTATTTAAGCCTGGATTCCCTAGAATTTTATTTTTTTGAGTTGGGGTTTCTCACTCTGTCGCCCATGCTGAGTGCAGTGATATGATCACGGCTTACTGCAGCCTCTACCTCCTGGACTCAGGTGATTCTCCCACCTCTGCCTCCTGATAGCTGGGACTACAGGTGTGCACCATCATGCCTGGCTAATTTTTTGATTTTTTTTTGTAAAGACCAGATTTATTATGTTGCCCAGGCTGGTCTCAAACTCCTGGGCTCGAGCAATCTTATTGCCTTGACCTCCCAAAGTGCTGAGATTACAGTTGTAAACCACTGTACCCAGCCCCTACTAGAATCTTAGAAAGAATCTGACCAATGTGCAGTATGTTGTAATTGTTGCCTTTTGAATGTTGATTATGTCCTTCAGGATTAATTTTGGAAACTAAGCTTTTCATACCTGTAGAGGGATTTTTCTCGTGGTTTGGTGCAACTAATATGAACATTACAGTCAGTTAGGTTAATGCCCACCAGTCTATGACAGCTTTGTGCATATAATAAATATATAAATAAATATATAATAAATCAAAAGTCAGGCCTGTAAATCAAAAGCCAGGACTGGTGATTAAGGTTTCGCCTGCTACCAATTTTTTTTTTTTGAGTTAGAGTCTCACTCTGTTGCCCAGGCTGGAGTGCAGTGGCACACTTATGGCCATCACAGCCTTGACCTGCTGGGCTCAGGCAATCTTTCTGCTTCAGCCTTCCAAGTAGCTGGAACCACAAGCATGTACCACCACACCTGGCTAAATTTTGATTTATTGTAGAGACCTTGTCTCTACAAGTTGCTCAGGCTGGTCTCAAACCCCTGGGCTCAGACAGTCCTCTCCCCTCCATCTCTCAAAGTGCTGAGACTACAGGCATGAGCCACCACATCTGGCCCCGTCTACTATTTTTTTTTAGCTGGAGTCTCATTCCATCCCAGGCTGGAGTGCAGTGGCATGCTCATGGCCACCCTAGTGTCGACCTGCTAAGCTCAGGCGATCCTTCCGCCTCAGCCTTTCAAGTAACCAGAACTACAGGCATGTGCTACTGTGCCCAACTACTTTGCTGATTTATTGTAGAGATGGAGTCTCGCTAAGTTGCCCAGGCTGGTCTTGAACCCACGGGCTCAGGCAATCCACTTGCCTTGGCCTCCCTCTACAGGGATTACAGACTGAGTCACCGAGCTCGGCCTCTACCATTTTTTAAAGGATCTATTATATGTGAAAGGATATATAACAAGATCCCCTGGAGAGTGGACTATAGTGTGAGAGGAAGCAGTCTGCAGTCATTGAAGCCTAGGCTGAGACACAGAGTAAGTATTTGATCAATAAGTTCCTCTCTCTCCTTCTCACCTCAGGGCCATGCCTCCAGTAGAGATTTGGAGAAGGCCATTCTTCAAAGGGGAAAATTTATCCTGAGAACTCTGGAGGGATTTAGAAATGCCTGCAGGTGAGGGGCCCTCTGTGGTTTGAGGTAATAGCTTGGAAGGTAGAGGTGGGAGGGATCCAGACAAAGGATGTAGTTCTAAAAGCAACACTTGATTTCTGATGTTCTGCTGCATACCAAAGAAGACTTTGGGGGGCAGGGTTTGGGGGTATGTGGGGGAGGTTTAAGGATGTGTAGCTAGGGGTAGAACATCCCTAAACAATCCTTCCTAGCGAAGTCTTTATTAATATGCCGTGAGGTTTTATCTTATTCACCTTTGTTTGCCATCACTCCCAAACTAGCCTAGTGTTGGTATTCACTGAATGCTTGTTTAATTCAGTTTACATTAACAAATGTTTGTTGTATCTACTGTGTGCCAGGCCTGATGCTAAACAGTGAGGTTAGAAAGAGAAATTAGCTGGGCTCGGTGGCTCAGCCTGTAATCCCACGCCTTTGGGAGGCTGAGGTGAGTGGATTGCCTGAGCCCGCGGGTTCGAGAC